TCTCAATGGCCTCACCGGCACCCTTCCCTGCGACCGGATATCCGACCGCCGTCCAACCGCACCGGTCACCGCAATACCAGCAGCGACACGTGTTTGCGGGGCCGATGAGAGCGACTGTTGCCGATCCTCAACGTTCTAGCTCTGCGATGGCCCAGCTTCTTTGCCAGGTAGGCTGTTTTAGGCAATTTGCCCACGCACATGCAAACGCGCGCTCATTTGCCATTAAGCTCAGTTCCTTCGGATTACAGAGGAACTTTGGGTGGTTTATTTGAGTAGTTGGAGCTCCTGGCGAGGTAGTAGGCATGAGGTGACAAAATAAGCTCCTCTTGAGTTGGTAAAACAATTTCAGGGGTGCCTGTGTTAGTGGTCAGGCTGGCGGGGTAAAAGTTCAATTTACGGTCCCAAACATCATGCGAAAACCCCCATCTTTCTGTACTCCGGGACAGGTGTTTATAGGGGTTAAATGGGTGGGACATATCAGGCGAAAGAAAAAATAATTAAAAAGGAGACCGTATGAAAGCTGAAAATCATACGAACAATCATTCAAATAACCGAATATTTGCGCGATACTTAAACTGGCCTTATAGTGCCCAGTTGGACAAAATGGGTCATTTTAATTATCGCGCACAAATAATCGGTTATTTAAGTAAGCTGTTTGGGTCCCTAAATTAAAATTTCCCAGTTGGCAGGTCTCTCTGACATCTTGTCTCTACTCATATTTCCTCAAATTCATCTGGTCCTTTCAGGTCCCTCCGGACTTGAGGTATACGCTCCATGTACAAGCAGATTTGAAGTCGTTCATGACTGTTGCTGAAATGCCTTTCATCATATCGTTATTCTTGTCGTTGTTTCAGTGGATTTGAATGTCAAAGTAGCTAACAAGGCCATTCCGAACATTGAATATAAGTAGACAGAACTGCAACTTGGGTGGGCTTGACCGTCTATGACGTTTTGCTTCGACAGTGAGCTCTAACCTTCGTTCTACTTTGTCTTTGTTTCTTACGTTCTTTTGGTTCCAGTGAATACAGCAATATAATGTACACCAGATCTCATGATGTCAATCTTGTGCAAGGGTCTATATGGTCGTTGGTGGGTTTCGCGATATTTTACTGGAGCCTTCAGTGCGTTTTTGTACTGTTGGCTTTTACGCTATCTGCTTTGGTATGAATACCTCTTCTATGCTGAGAATACCTCCGCTACAATAAAGTTGAAGCTGTCCCTACACTACAATAAGGTTGACTTGACTTTGCATCAAGGGTCCCTTCCTTGTTACTTCCTTTAACAAATCCTTCGAGGATCTGCTCCGTCTAGTTCTGCCACATGGAGAAAGCTTTCATGCCGTAAGCGCGTCAGGTTTATCGCAGTTCGAATCCT